CACTCATGTCCAATTCTTTGTGACCCTATTTGGGGTTTTCTTGGCAAAGATACTGGAGAGGTTTGCCATTTGCTTCTTCAGCTTGTTTTACAGATGAGGAAACTGAGGCAAAAAGAGTTAAGAGACTTACTCAGGGTCACACAGCTAGTAAGTGTCTGAGGTCAGATTTGAAGTCAGGTCTTAACTCTAGGCCTAGTGTTCCATGCATTGCACCACCTACCAGTCCCACAGAGATGATGCATAGTTATTGTTAATTATTTCTCCCTTGCATTTTTTCCTTTGAAATTCTAAGGTTTCCTTTGAGGCTTAGTTCAAACTTCATCTTCTGCCTGAGGCCTTATTACTATCTTTATCGCCCCCATCGCCCATTACCTTGTACTGTTTTGTAAGTGTTTTCTGTAAACCTATATATGAGCAGGGTCTTTCCACCTTTAGGATATAAGCTCACTGAAGATAGGAACTATTTCACTTTTATCTTTTTTTTCTTTTATAGAGGCAGGAAGGTGGCATAGTGGAATCGGGAATACCTGAATTAATATATGACCTCAGACACTTATGAGTTGTATGACTCTGTTTCTCTCAGTTTCCTCAACTGTAGAATGGAGATAATAACACCTTCTTCCCAGGGTTGTTGTGAGGATCAAATGAGATGGTTATAAAGAGGTTAGTGCAGTACTTGGCACATGGTAAGAACTATGTAAATATTAGCTATTAGTTGTTATTTGTATCCCCATTGCCTAGCATAGGCCCTAGTTGTCAACTGATACGAGATTGTTGATTGATTGATTGATTAGATTTGAATACTTTCTCCCTCCTTACTTCAAAGACTTTGAATTTGCCTGAATAGTGTAATAGGAGAAGTTCTGGAGTCAGAAGACCTAGATTTGTATGCTGGCTCTGCTATTTATTTCCTGATTGCACTCAGGCAAGCTATTTATTTTACTTGGACTTCATTTTCCTCACCTGCAAAATGAGGGGATGTGAAGGGAGAGCTGGTATTTATAACTTTTTTGCTGTAAATCTTATATTCCTCTTACTACTTTTCCAGTCTCTCCCTTGTTGACTTTCCTGAAACTTCTAAGGTATTTTCCAAGATTCTGCACCCCCACCCACCCCAATTCTTTGTTTTGGAAGTATATTTGATTTTGAGGGATTCAAATACTATTTCCATACACATAACTCCAAAATTTATGTCTCTAGCCTTGACCTCTCTCTTGTAATACATTTCTTTCTCTTGGTGACATCACAAGTTCGAGTGGTTTTAACTGTCCTCTCTATGCTGATGATGCCCAAATCAATACATCCAGTTATTATTTCTCTTCTGAACTCCATTTCCACATCATCAACTGTCCATTGGATACTTACAACTGGATGTTCCATTGACATCTCAAACTGAATGAGATGGAAACTCACTATCTTTCCCCTAACACCATCCTAAACCTCTACCCAATTGTTTTTTTTTAAATTACCGTTTACCACCATCTTTCCAGCTGTCCATGGTTGAACTTCAATGTCATCCTTGATTCCTAACTCTCACTAGCCCCACATATCTAGTCAATTATCAAATCTTGTCATTTCTATCTCTATAACATCCCTCACACATATGCACTTCTCTCCACTCAGACAATCACTACTATACCTTTTTTTTTCTAATTTCAAAGCAACCTATCCAGGTTCTTCACCTCAAGCCTCCCCACTCTGATCTATCCTCCATATATTATTCAGTAAACCCCAATGGCTTCCTCTTGCCTCTAGGATTGAACATAAACTCCATTGTTTGATATCTAAATCTCTTTACAACCTGGCCCTTTCCTATATTTCCAGTCTTCATATTGTTGACTTCACTTCTCACACTCTATGATCCAGCCATATGACCTATAGCACTGCTCTGCACATGCACACAACTTTCTGTCTCACAGTTGTATGTATCTGCCCTGGCTGTCCCCCTCTGACTTCCTGGAATATATTCTCTTATCCCTACTTGGAATCTCTGGTTTTCTGCAAGGCTGAGCTCCAATACCACCTTCTACATGAAGTCTTTCCTCATTTTCATAGTAGCTGGTGCTCCCAGTCCCCAAACCACCTTGCATTCATTTTGTTTATGTTCTGAATATATTTCATGTTTACATGTTGTCTCCCCAAATAGATCATGAGCTCCATTAGGGTAGGTAACTGTCTTGATTTTGTCCTTAGCATCTAGCATGTACTTGGCACATATTAAGCACTTACAAATGCTTGTTGATTAATTTTCAGTCCTGTTTCTCATTATAGTTAATTATTTTATTTTTCTCTCAATCTTGCTTTCCTTTCTAAATTTTCTCTTTCTGTCTGGGGTACTACCATAGATCTCGTGTCTCAGACTTGTGGCTCTTTTCTCATTTTCATTGCTGATAACCACATTGGTAAACAAGACCTGTTCATTTCATTTCCTCAACTTTGCTTGGATCTATATCACCATTCTGATGTGGGACCTAAGTACCTCCTATATGGATTATTGCAACTGCCTTCTGATTAACCTCTCCTCAAATCTCCCCACTTCAGTCCATTCTCTCCTATAAGCCAGTCACTAATCCTATTGACTAAATTGCTAGGGCTCACCACCTCCTGGATCAAGCATAAACTCCCCTTTTTGGTATTCAAAACCCTTCATAACCTGGACCCTCCTGCCTTTCCAATATTCTTACACCTTATTCATCTCTGCATACTTTTTGATCTACTGACACTGGTCTCCTTGACATTCCTTGTACAAGATACCATCTTCCAGCTCACTGCATTTTCACTGACTCTTCCTAACATCTGAAATTCTCTCCTTCCTTATTCCCATCTCCTGCCCTCCCTGAATCCCTTCAAGACACAGCTAAAATTCTACCTTCTATAAGAAGCCTTTCCTGATGATCTTATTTAATGCTAGTATCTCTCCCCTTTTGATTATCACCAATTTATCTTGTATAGATCTTACTTGTACATAGCTGTATGAATGTTATCTCTCCCATTAGACTGTGAACTCATCAAGAGCAGAAATGTTTTGTGCCTTTCTTTGTCATACACGGTGCTTAACATATTGCCGGACACATAGTAGTTGCTTAATGTATGCTTATTAGTGGTTGACTCTTCTCCATATTCTTTTTGCCACCATCTTAATATGATCCTTCATTATTATCTAATGCTATTAGAATAACCTAATGGGTTTTCCAGCTGTCTTTATGATCCTTCATACCTGCCAGTCATCTTCCCTTGACATAGATTTAGTCATGTCACTGCTTTTCGATTTCCTTGCATGAAAAATGTATGCGCCTTTAATTATTATTAAAGGTTTTCGTAATCATATGTCGTCCTACCATTCCAAATTAATCTTAGACTATTCTCTTCCACATAACATATATTTTATCCAATGGAATTATTCACTAACCACTATTCAAGTCTCATAACTCCAATCTTCATGTTTCTTTTCTCAATTCCATTGTCTAGAATATTCCTCCTACTCTCTTTCAACTTGTTTAATTCTTAACTGTCCTACAACCCAACCAAAATGATGCCTGCCACTTCTAGAAAGTCTTCACTTATCCCTTTGTCCAGCAATGATACTTTCCCTTTCAGATTTGACATAGCCCTTCATTTGTGTCTAATGTGCTAATCTTGTTTTTTTTTTGTAATATTGCTGGCTGTGTATGTAATTCATAACTCTACTAGATTAAGAACTTGATGAAGGCAGGATATTTTTTGTAAACTATTTTACCATGCATTTAGCAGATTGCTCTGCCAACTAGCCGACTCTGTTTATAATGTCTTTGTCTCTAAGGGCAGACTTTTTATACTCACTTTTTTTTTTCATTTTTTGGCTTTGGATATACTCAAATGTGTGTGAATTGTTGATCTCTTCATTTTTCAAAGTCATCCTAATCATCAAAGTCTAGCAGCATAGCAGATTGCAAAAAATGAATGTCAAAACTGTGATTGTTTCTTTTTAATCTCTCCCCTCTCCTTGAACTGCTTAATTCAATAAACTACTTCCCTTTCCAACTCCTTTTGATCAGCTACTATATGAACATACATTATCCAAATGAATTAATGCTTATGCAACTACTCTGAGGAATCTCTGAAGTACATAAATGTGATTTATCAAATATAACTTGGTTAAAATTATTATGTACTATCATAGATGCAGAGCTAAAAAGGAACCTTAGAGATGATTTAGTCAACTCTCTCATTTTAGAAATGAAAATACTGAGTCCTTGACACTTCCCCAGTTTCGCATAGTTTATATATAAAAGCTAGGATTTGACCCCAGATCTTTTGATGTGAAATCTAGTGCTTTTCCCAATGCATTATGTTGTCTCTTTTCATGAAGTAAGGGTAAAAAATTTTTTTAATTATTTATTTTTTTATAAGAAAGCCATTTTATATCCAACTGATGTTACTTCAACCTGGGAAAATTGTGATGCCAATTATTTTAAGTAGCATAGATCTTTGTTTAAAAAAAGCATATATATATATTTCTAATGTTTTGCATACTGTTTAAAGCCAGATGAATTTTTTTTCATTTAATCTTATCCAAACTTTAGCCACTTTTGTCCTAAGAAAGATATGCTTTGCATTTAAACAAGATTATATTTTGTAAGTACTTTAGAAAAGTAATGATAATTATTCCACACTTAAAGAGTAGCCACATATCAAAATGAGGGATAGGACATTTCAAGAGACTGTTTCTTGTAAGAACTCCGGTAAACCAAAACTTGTTCGTGAGGGTGATTTTAAAAAAGCTTCATAGAATTTCAACCATATATTATACGTTAGATGCTGAAATTAAATTGGTAACATTTCAGGTAAAAAAAACACATATGTCACGTGATCATAATTAGCATCTCTCAAGTATAACTACACTGAGGGAAGTCAATGGGCTGATTTCTTTAACATCATTAGTCTTGATCCCAAAGACCCTTCCAGCTTGTCTTTTTTCACACTAGATGCTGGTGGGAAGAGTAAAGACATCCAAATTCCAATATTTTTAAGAAATGTGTATTTAACAACTGAATACATGCTAAAAGAAATAATTTACAGCAGCAGTTTCATTTACATTTTGTCTCCAGTTCTCTAGTTCCCATCTGAAATGCAGTGATAAATACAGAGACGGAACATTTTACTATCTGGCAAAGAACATGCTTAGTGAATGGGCACATACCTTCTGCCCTTAAAAAGCACATAAACCACCTTATCACCTGCATAGTGAAACCTTGCATCTTAGAAGCATGTTGAACACATTGAAATGGAGTACCTATAGATAGCAGTACTTTACAGTGTACCCTCTTTTCTATTCAAAAGTATTTACATCTCTTTTGGCTAATGTGTAGGTAGCAAAAACTGAACTATTTAACACATACCATTGAAATCCACTAAATAATACATAAAATGATCATTAAATGTGCATTCACATGCATTTTACTTTTCTTTTTTTTAAACTTTGACTTTAATCAGGTCATGAAGGTGTAACTTTGTTCTGCAGTGATGCACATTATCTCTCCCTATATAGTTTTATTACATTTCTTTTGAACCTCATAGTTTCTATGAGCTTTTAAAGCAAATCTCATTTCCAATGATCCATGAATATGCAAATGGAAGGTTATTGAAACAAAAATTAATTGAGTTATTTTTGCGTATGCAGACTGCCTTCTCTCAATACACTTTGGCAGAAAATTTTGACTATGAAATGAATTATTTACTGATATAATAAATGTAGAAAACCTGAAAACCTAGAACTAATGGTTTACTGAGTCAAGCCAGCCAATATTTTATCAAAGTGTATCCTTTCTTCCAAATAATAGCATAATGAAATCAAAATGCACTCCAAAATTGGAGGGCATCCCTGGAGTTATTACACAATCTTTAGTCCTTCACATCCTTTATTTTGAAGGTTAATAAGACATTGGATACTTCTGTTATAGTAAAGAAGTTCTTTTCAACTTCAAGATGTCCAAATTTAGAATGAAATTCAATACTACCTTCCTAGTATAGTTGAGATATTTTATGAAAAATGCTAGCATGACCTATTTTCTGAAGCCCTCTTTTTTCTTTTGTTTGTAATTCATACAAGATTTTCTATAAAGAAATCTATCTTGATTGTGAAATGGCACACCAACATCATATTAATCAATGAAGATTTCTAATTGAATTCAAACTATTTTTTTAGCTTTTATTGAAACACATGCCACCAAACTAATTATTCAAATTCATCATGAAGACTGAAACCTTGACTACAATCTGTGAAATACTTCAGCTTATTGGGATTTTCTAAATTCAATGTATTCTGAAGTGAGAAATTAGTGACAAGTTAATTAGAATCCCAAAACTACTGTAGTTACAACTCTGATATCACTTCATTAATCAACAATTTTTCTCCTTTTTGAAAATTGTAAAAGGCCTAGGGATAGATCCCCCAGAAAAGGCAATGCTATACAAAAATAGTTTTCTACTGCTGATGGTTTAATGAGCCCTAAAAACAACAATTCCCAGTGAATAATGGTAAGACAATATGGAAAACAAACTCTTGATTCTGCATGCCCTTTCTCAAAGCTGTTTTAGGAAATTAGTGTTTTCATGTTTCAAAAAACTCTGTTATATGCAAAAGTAAGTCCTGTTGAAATTTAGAGGCATGCTCATTAAAGAGAAACTATTGCACCAAGAGATGTGAATTATGGGTAGTTAGGCATTGCTGGTATTATGGGTCTCCACTGAGTTAGGCACTATTCCTTCATAACCTTGTTTAAGAACTGAAGATCTCATAATGTAGTTGTTTGTTACCTTTTCGTAGTTCTCCTATTTGACTCCCATTGAAACCAAGAGACAAATCTTTGCTGTGTGTGAACTATTTTGTGGGGATTTTCTACCTTTATAGACACAATTAAAAGAACACTTTTTTTTCTGTTCAATTAACTGGAGATAGTGGTTAACATTTTTAAGTAACATGTGCTTCATTTACTCTTCACTGATCTGTAACAAACAATTAACATATATTTTTTCCAAATTCCTTGCTGTTTCTATTGAGGGGGGTCAGGAAATTATAGAGTTGACATTTATTAAAGGTAATATTTAGAGTGGGGAGGGAGTGAAAGGCTTCTGTTCTTTTTCTTTCAACAAAGAACTAAGGCATATTCTATACTTGGGTTTTAAGGATTAACTGTTTAAGCCATATTCTCTATAAAACATATGGGCTGTCTCTGTGACTTGGCTGAAAAACTTTCCAAATGAGAAAAAAAAGCAGCACACAATTGGAATTTTAAAACAATAATTAGAAAGTACAATATTTGTAAGACAAAAGCCTATTCTAGTTTAGAAAAGAGCTAAGTTTTACTGCATATTTGTCATGGTACATTTAAATTATAGTTTTAATAAAATACATCTTTAGACCAAAGCTGAAAGAAGACATCAGTAGTAGATCAGTGTATTCCACTTTCTTTCTGGGTGATGGGTGGTTTTTGCTTTTCATATTTCCACAGACCATTTCATTCGGTATCATTTTACTCCTCCAGTACGTATAAACAAGAGTGTTGGTAGATAAAAATTATCCTCGTGTCCAACCAATTTCAGAATATTAATCAGCTTTGTAAATCCATGCAGGTTTTTTTAAATGCTTAGTTCAATAAAAATGGCATTGCTGATATCAGTTTTCCTTCTTTTAAAGGATAGTCTGGCAAATGACACTTTTAAGTCTCAGGCAAGAAAGCAAAACCTGTATAATGGAATCTTTGTAGGAAACATTGTCAGCTAAATTGAATATCTGTGTTCATCTTTGAATCTCCATTAGATGTTGGTATCAGGGAAGGAGTCTGTTAGGAAAGTTAGTCATGGACTTAATTTATATCTGGTGGAAATCAGTTGGACTTACCACTATTGTAAACATCCACATAATGCCATGATAAAGTTCATGTATATTGCATTTTTCCAGTTATCTGTCTAAACAAGTTTCTACTTAGGTGAGGTTTCCACAGGTAATGCAGTTCAAACACTCCTGGGTGCCCTCTCAAATTCGTGGGTCCTCCTATTTCTACCTTTCTTATTTTCTTGTAGGTGTTTCCATTTATTACTATTTGCCTGAGAATTGCCTGGCCTCTGTCTACGTTGTTTTCGGTCCCTTTTCCAAACTTGTTCACAGAATTCATCCATTGTATTGAGGTTGGGATGGTTGATGAGTTGCATGAAGTCCCTATACCAGACCTTCTGATTGGGAGTCATGCTATTTGAAATATCCTTGGACTTAGAACTATCACCATCGTCGTCTTTATGAAGAAGCTCTTCTAAGTGATCTGTGTCAATGACTTCTAAGGTCACCTTAAGAAGAGTTTGCATGAAGCCATGTTCCACTGCGTGACAGAGATAAGTGCCTGAATCTTTCCTTTGTAGACTACGTAGCAAAAGGCCTTGTTCAGTTTTGATGATACGGTCATCCACTCGGATCTGGTGTGTGACAAAAAGAAAAGGCATTTTAAATCTCAGCTATGGCATTTTAAATTCTATTTTTTTTAAACATACTATGATAGTAAAACTATCTCAATGGAAATTGTATACAGCATACTTCTACAGTATACTAAGTACTTCTATAGAATAAAATAAGGCAATTATTACCATCCAATACAACTGGAGATTTTTATTCAATATGAGGCCTAGTTGTATTTTACAAAGGTTTTTATTATTGTTATTTTAGATTCATAATTATTTATATAAAAGTTTTTTGTAAAATAATACTTTTTACAGTCACAATAATTGATGAAGGAATCAAAGATCCTGTTTTCCTAAAACAGAATGTTAATGGAAAGAAATATCATTTTGGGTGAAGGGTGAAGTTGCAAGTTTAGTATGGAAACAGGACAGTGATACTGGAGTTCATGTTTTGGCAAAACCTGGTCAGTAATAGACTTGTAATAAGATAGGCTGAAAGAAGCACTTTAACAACTGAGGGAGTCAGAACTGAGCCAAGAGAGGTTAAACCATATTGGGTACATTTTATTATTATTGATGATGATGATAATAATAATAATAACAATAATAATAATAATAATAATAATGTTGATGATACTATCTCATCAGTTAAAAATATTCTAAGTTTTAGTAATTCTAATTATAAATATATTATTTTGAACAAATCAATTATCTATTTTATAATAATCATTTATTTAATTTGTAAGTATAAAACCAATATTAACAATTACTTAATATATCATCTACCTAACATATATAGCACAGACTAAAAGACTGCACTTGATACTTCAGTGAGGATATGGGGGCAATTATTTTCCCTCTATAGTTTTTTCTTTACTGTATGATTATATTTCTACTGTTTAGTCACCCTTTTAAAGACATTTTTTCATCTAACACATTTTATTCATCAGCAAAACCATCTAGGTGTTGATAGTGATGTTTTTTCAAAAGTTTTTGAAGGCCTACAATATTCCCTGACCTTTCTGGTGGGAACTAATTTATAAAAACAGAAATGGTCATGGCCTGCTAACAGGCCTTCTGTTAATTAGATGTTTGATTTTCTCAAATTGGCGTCTTTGCATTGTCTAATACAACAGATGCTTCTTCAACTGTGTTTCTCTCATAATCAAAGGCTCAACAGAATAATATGAAGATATATTAGATCTTAATATTTTCCAATGATTTAGTTTCTGCATTTGCATGGTGCATTTCATTTGCTACGTTACTTTTCCTCTTCAAAGAAATAAAATGATCAAAGAAAGAATTCCTTAGAGGAAAAGTATGGTTGAACAACCAAATTTCTTATGCAGTGATTATGAATAGTTAGAGAGTTTAAGCAGGTGGGATACATGTCAGACAAAATATATAATGGAGAGAGGGGATGCTAACATTAAAATTTGTTCTGGGGGACAACTATGTGAACAAAAAAACTAGCTTGGCAATTAGTTACATTAAGGGGAAATGCTCTTATGAATTTTCTAATTGTGCTAGTAGAGATAAATTGATGGATTCTATCCTAATTTTCTATGATTACTTATTGCTTAGCTTTCCTTTTGTGTGTGTGTGGGGGGGGAATGAACTATTGGCTTCATACCTGATTCATGTTTGTACAATAGGTAGCTTTCATATTTCCCCCTCTTCTCTGGGGAAATTTTAGACTAGAGCCGAAAGCAGCATGATTGTAATTAACAAGAAGTGAAGATGAAGTGAAAGTTAGGAACCAATAAACCCGGCGCAAGCCTTGGAGGCAGGTAAAGGATAACAATTAATGAAGGTTGTCTGAGTTTATGGACTCAGCAGAAAGATAGCTAGGTAGCCATTATTACCTGTATTATCTCTCATTTGGCATTTAAGACTCTTGACAATTTGGCCCTTTCCTATTTTTCTAGTTTTTTTACACGTTAATTTCCTCAACAAATGCTGTGATCCAGCCACGCTGGCCTGCTTGCTAGTCTTCACACGTGATGCTCCATCTCCCATCCTCACACCCTTGTATCAACTCCCCTCTCCTCCATTTCTAGAATATTCTTCTTCATCTCCCCTTCTTAAAATACCTAGCTTTCTTCAAGTATGAACTCAAGTCCACTTAGTTCAGAGAGGCTTTCCTTCACTGCCTCAGCTCTTAATTTCTTTGCTTCCACTAAAAATATATACTTATCTTTACCAATTTATGTACGTAATTCCTCTCCCCATTAGAATGTAAGCTTTACGAGGGAAGGGAAAGGACTATTATTGGGGGTTTTTTAATCTCTCCAAGTTATCACAATGCTTTTCATATGATAAGTAGTTATTAAATGCTTTTTGATTGATTAATTGATGATTGAAAATAGGCCATGTATGATAGTTCTAAAATTTTTCGTAAGGTAAAAGAAAAAGGCTAATTAGGTTTCCCATTATGGCAGATGAAGGGAAATTATTAAGGAAGACATTAATAGTAAAAGTGTTGGAGAATAAAATCTTTTATATTCTTGTACCTCTTCTTTCCGTTCCTCATTTTGCCTTTGGAATTGCCAATATACTAGAGCACGTTGAGACTTAGGGCTGCACTCCAAGAATGTGCTACTGTTTTCTACTCCATAGATGATTTTTTCTTCAAAACCGTGGCCATTGTAGTTATCTGTCAGTTGATAAAAAAAAATGAAATGAAATGGGGGGAAAGTAAGAAAATGATCCTCAATTCCCAAATGCATTTACTTCTTCAAAAATCACTTTTTATTGTCAAACTCGTATGATATTCCAAACTGATTGAGAGTAGCAATGAATTTAAAGCATACAGTAGTAAAGGCCTGAAAACTGAGCTTCCTACTTATGAAGACAAAGTCAGTTTTGTTTGGGTTATATGAAGCACATAGCAGAGAGGTAACCTGCTAGAAAGTAATATTTTATTAGCACAATGCTGTGTAGAATAAAACTATATATGCTATAAGAAATGAATGTATGAAAGTACTCTGAATGCAGTACATTATGATATGGAGAAGTGACCAGAAGGAATTTAACCACATGGGCAAGGATTTGATCTATTTCTACTGCATCTTTCTTTGCTAAACAAGAGGTGGCCTGGGGCTGCCAGGAAGTTTATAATACATAACAACTGCGCCTAAATATTTCGTAGGTTTGTTGGGAGGCCACACATGGGAAAGTCTTTGAATACTTCAGAAAAGAGTTACAGCTATGATGTAACTCAGCTCTCCACTGGAACTGGTTATAAATATTCTATCTTTTATTATACTGAAGAGTTAGTGAATTGGAAAAGAAAGACCAAAAAAAGATATTCAAATAATATGTAATAAAAGTAGAGGAAGAGGAAAACCAGTTTCCTAAGAAAGGTTCTGTTACTTTACCCTTGACATAACCTCCTTCAGTGTGGTAAATGAAACACATTTAAGATCAATGGTATCACATGGGGAGATGCTTAGTAAAACCCATTTGGAAAAAAAAAGGCTTTTTTACAACCTTGTACAATTCTGTTTCTATTAGGATACTCCACAAAACCTGCACCTGGTTAATTTAACTGAAAAATATTTTTACATGCAAGACAAGCTGACTTTGCAGAAATATGAAAGAAATATTTACTATCTCCCCTGCAGGTAAGCTCTTAATAATAAAATAATATTTTCTTGTCTAATTTTGGCAAAGCAACTCTCCCTTCAGTTACCTATTGTGTTTCTTATCAGATTTAAACTTCTCATGCTGAGTTTAAAGCTTCCCTAAAAAGATCATCTCTATTATCCTTCATCTTGTACTCCAATTTTCAACATATTGCCTACAGTATGACATTTATATAGTACCTTGTTTCCCAAAGGATTTTCTTTACAACATCTTTGGGAGGGAGATATCCAAGTATTACTTATTACTCCCATTTTTCCAGAGGCAGAAACTACAATTCTAAAAATTTGAGTGAGTTGTTTAGGGTTACTGAGCAGGTAAGAACCCAAACTGAGATTCCAACCCAGATCTCGTGATTTCCAAGATTTCCAGCACTCTATTAACTATGTCATGTTGCCTATAGTCTCAAATAAACCAATGGTTCTAACTTTTTTCCCCCAACTCCGACTTTTATGCTTTAAAAAAAAATTGTCTCTCCAAAGTGTGAAGTTCCTTTAATAGATATTCATCTGACCCCTTTTTCATATAGCAAATCTAATTCATGAGAAAAAAAAGTAAGACCTATGAAACATTACTATAAATATGTTGTTTTAAAACTATATATGGTACACCATCCTTTGGTACACATTCATTTCTCAAATAACTACTCTTCCCAACTTCATCTTCTTCAGTGGTAACTGATATTTCATTATCCCTAGGTATATGGTGGTAGAGTCCAAATGTAGTGGTTCTATTATCATTTTCAATATGACTATTTTGGTCCAACAACAAAAAATCTGGGCAAGGAGTTCTATTAAATGTTCTCAGGATACTCTAGCTCAATAGATGTTACCCGTGCCTTTCTGTCAGTGACTCTATAAGGACCATGAAAGCTCAATGGATTTGATATATTGAATACATGTTGGGGAGTTAGAAGAGTTTCCTAGATATGAGTTCTCTAAGCATTGTTCAGGAGATTTCCTTGGATTAAAGAACTGAGGTGGGGCCATAGCCAGAAAGAGAAATGAGCCCTTTGGGCCAGGTCCCCAGGGAGTCCATGGAGAGTTAGGATAAGACTTAAGTAATTCCTTGTGTGAGATAATACCACTCCCAATTTTCCCTCCAGCTCCTCCTTGAAGTTTTGCAAATAAGCTTTTACTGTAACTCAATGTTACATGGCTGTCAAGCTCATTTGCTGGCTAAAGCAGTTTCTGAGCTCCTGCCTTTCTTGCTTTGGTAACCATTTTGTATTTGTTAAACTTCTCTAAAAAACCACTTCTCATTTTTGTAGTTGGATCATCTGTAGTTGTACCTAGTGTCTTATCTATCAATCAATCATATATATGTGTGTGTGTGTGTGTGTGTGTGTGTGTGTGCATACAGTTCCTACTACATGCCAGGTACTGTACTAAATGTAGGGGTTACAAAAAGAGGCAAAAGATAGTCCCTGCCTTCAAGGAGCTTACAACTGAATGGGGGAGATAACATGAAAACAAGTATGTACAAACAAGCTATCTACAGGATAAATAGGAAAGAATTAACAGAGGGGAGGCAGGAGAATAGAGAGGAGGTGAGGAAGACTTCCAGTAAAAGATGAGTTTTTATTTGGCACCAAAAGCAGGCAAGAGAAATCAGTAGTTGGAGCAGAGGAAGGAGTGTTCCAGGAGAGTGTTTCCAGGGAGGGGGGCAGCCAAAAACAATTCCTGGAGCCAAGAGGAGTGACTTTCTTATCTTAATCTTTTTTTTGGGGGGTGGGGATTTGGCAGATTTTGATTAGTCCTCTAACCAGTAAATAGGATACACCAGGGATGGGGAACTTGTGGCCTTGAAGCCACTTATGGCTGTCTGGGTTCTGAGGTGTGTCCCTTCAAACAATAAATCCTCTTAATAAGAGAAATTGTTCCATAAAACTTGGACTCAGTCAAAAGGCCATACATAAGGACCTAGAAGGCCACATGTGGCCTCGAGGCCGCAGGTCCCCCACCCATGGTCTATACAAAGTGAGCTGCATGTTAAGTCATAATCAATTTCATTGTGTTGTTGTGTTATCTGGTGCACAGTATGACAAGCCTTTGGTCCCTTCTTCATCATATTTTCTAACAGTTTTAATAGTTCCATTTGTCTCAGTACCCAACTTCACACCAAAGTTAGCAAGTGTCGCAGTAGATGTTGACTTGCTCAGAGCTTTGTGTCAGGTTGTTCATGTGCTTTCCCTACTAAATCTTTTGCAGAAGCTTGTACAAAGGTTGTAATACTGCATGATCTTCAGTTTGCTTGTGTTCATCATGAGCATTCTAAAGTAAAATAAGCAAATGTTCCACAGGTCTCTTGTTTCTTTTGAGTTCATGAAACCAACAATAACCACTCTCTTGTTTGCCCTTCCAACAGAACCTGTAAACTAGCCTTCTACTTACAACTTCTTTAAGTCTTCTGATTAATTCACTTAGAAAGCACGTATTAAGTGCTTACTATGTGGTAGGCGTTGTGCTAAATACTGTGGATTACAGAGAAAAGAAAAAAAATATATATATATCCCCAGCCTTCAAGGAATTTGTGTCCAAATAGAGAAAATTTGAAGAACTATGTACATACAAAAAAACATGCAAAGTAGATGGAAAGCAATCCAAAAAAGGTAAGACATTCTAATTTCTTTTATAGCAACACTGTCATTTTGAAGGTGATTGTGCTCCTCCAAGAATGTATTTTTTCTTTGGTTCTGGACAAAGATTTCACATTGAGTGCCAACAACTAAATTAATGTTTGTAGGTGGTCTGCACCTTGGGTGATTCTTAGCATTCCTTTTGCCTTTCACTACATGTCTTCCACCATCATTGCAGAGGGGTAGCAGCAGACTTGGAAGGGCCAGAAAAGCTATCTGCTGCTCTAAGCCCCATTAGTCAGAAGCTGCAAGAGCCTTAGTGTCTGCAAATGGTGAGTTACCACACCCCTTACTATCACATGGTTCAATTAGGGATCAGAGAAAGCTGTGATTTTCTTGGTCAAGGCAACTCCCAGATGAGTTTGTTTGTTTGCTCCAATTTCTTCAGTCATTTTCAGTTGCTTCTGATTCTTTGTGACCCCATTTAGGATTTTCTTGACAAAGTGATTTGCCATTTCTTTCTCTACCTCATTTTACAGATAAGGAGCCTGAGGCAAACAGGGTTAAGTGACTTGCCCAGGGTCAATGCTGATATGCAGGTCAGCATCTTCACTCCATTATTAGCTACCTGGATGACTGAGAATTTAAGTGGCTTGCCCAGGGTAACAGAGCCAATATGTATTTTGAGCCCATGTCTCCCTAGCTCAGTGCCAGCTTTCTCTCCTCTCTACAATGATGGAACTCTAATATCCCAGTAGTGTAGCAGTTTTGCCACACATGCCACTTTAGAAATATATGACCAGAGGACAGTATTCATCCAAATATACAATAGTTTTTCAGCAAATATCCAATAACCACATTTTCTTGAGAGTTTCAAAAAAAGATCATTTGGCTACCTCTTACTTAGATTATGTTGACAGAATTAGAAAATAATGCCCTGGTAAGTGGAGGGAGGGGGGTAATTAACCAAGTGATTGAGTCATGGTAGATAACAAGTGATCTCTCATACTATATAATCTCAGAAATATTCCTAAGTACAAAGCGTGGAATGAGTGATAGAAAGTATCCTGAGCTATTACTTAAATCTATCTCTACTAGCATTAAACTATCTCCTGGCCAGTGGGCAGCTGCCCAATTTGTAAAGATTTCTGAGGAAGGAAATTCCACAACCCCTCTCAGTCATGCACTGAGAAATATATTTCACACTTAGAAGAAATCGGTTTTGGAAGCAAACTTTTATGATGAAAATTATACCAATAGACAAGAGGGGTGTAGTTTTAAAATTGGCATAATGATTCCTCATGGGTACTGCAATCAGAATAGTTAGAGCAAAATGTTTGAGAGCAAGAAAACATTAGGTTTCTTTTAAAATAACTACAGTATGTTTGGAGAACACAATGTTGCAATATGTTGCAGCTGTTAATGAAAAGAAA